AAGTTTGTTTGTGGATACTTGCTGCAAAACAGTTGCTCTGTACCACTTCCCATCTTTGGGACATTTAACAACACAGGCAGCCTGTCCAGTTTTGTAAGGACTGGTATGCTCTTTATAGTAAGTCTGAATTTGTTCCATTAAGTTATTTAGCTCTGGCAGTTTACTTTGCAACTGACATGAAAAATCTGCTGGGGAAACAATGTAAGAACACACCACTTCAAAAACAGCTCCTGGTTTAAACACAAACTCTTTGTAAAATAATCTTTTCTCATGTACCAATTTACGGCTTTTAGAGATAGCACCTTTTCCAAAACAGGACAGCACAACAGATTCTCTCAGCACTGAAGGCACACTTAATGATTTTTCCTTCTGAAATATCTCTCCATTTCCAGATACCTTATTTTTACGAATATTACAGATGCTCTGTGCATTTGCTTTTTTTTTTTTTAATTTGTGGCGATTCAGGGCTCGACTTTTTTTTGCCGAATTTAGAACAGAATCTGGTGTCTTTTCCCAGTGTTCAGCATATCCAGCTTGAACCATACATGTGGCAACATTTCCTTGCTGCAAACCATTCTTATACTGCGCGTTAACAATATACTTGTCGTTTTGCTTTCCAATAACATGAAGCAGGAGTAGCTTGTTAAACACAATGTCTTTGAAGAAATCAGTTTCCTTTTTAACCCACACATCATCAACAGGAAACGTATAAGCAAGTGCACAACACATAGCTAAAGCTGGTAAATCAGAAAACTCAGGAAGCAATCTTTTCACATCATAACAGGGTACTGTATCTGTATTTCCAAAGTCCAAAAAATAAACAGTAATATTTACATGAAGCACTTCAACGACAACACCCCGATAATAATGCATGTCTTTGCTATACCGGGCACAGCACAGCAATCCAGGTTCTGGGTTTTTAAGGACCATTTCATCAGCTCCACATGGGTTATATGAATCTGCAATATTTTTCATCAGGGCTTGAAATTCATTCTGATATTCACATGTTTGAATCCAGAAGTCAGATGGATTTATGACATATACCACAAAAGCAGTATGGAAAGAATTCATTTGCATTTCTACTCTTTTGCAGTGGCTTGACAAAGAAATATCCCGTTCAGGTAAGCAGGTTTTTGTATGCTTATTTCCAGTACAATTCTTAAATGAATTGTATCTCCCATCACATGGTTTGTAGGTTACAGCAATACTCGTGACTGTTGTTTCCGAAAGCGAGACACATGATGCAGCTGCCTCATTCAGGTTTTCTGGACGCTTAGTATTAATTCCAAGATTTTGATTTTGCAGCGTAATGTAATACAAGCGTTTAATGTCACTGAATAAATCAACACGGACACACACAGAAGTTTGTCCTATCAAGGCCCGTATAAGTTCTTTCAGCTGACTTTTTATTACTGTTTCATCCTGACTACCGAAACAAGACAGTGCACATGGAAATGAAATCATTGGTAATGCCATGAACTCTACTTTAAGTTTCTGAACACAACTAGATGGCACAGCTTCAATATTGCCAAAATCCATAAACCAGACTTCCACACAGTCAGAGAGAAGCTGTTTTATCACTCCTCTATGCCATTGTCCGTTTTGCCTTTTGGCAGCACAGAGTAGCCCTAAACTATCAAAAGATTTATTATTTTCTGTACTGATAGCTTCATAGTACAAATGCATAGCTCCCGTCAAATCTTCCAGCTCTTTCTGCCATTTCTGAATCTGACAGTAAAATTTATTTGGGCTTACTGCAACAGTTATTTTTACATTTTCTTTACTGCCAACAGGTAGACATGGAAAGAGATCATCTGGAACTGGCCAAAAATCTGTTGGTTTCTCAAAATTACTGAAAGTAAGCAACTCTTTGACTGGATACTTCCGTTGCAACAATTGTGGCACTAGCATTTCTTGGGGAAACACTCTTAACGTTTCTACAATAAGACAAAATGAATCTCCATCAATAAATTTTCCTAACTGCAGTTCAAGAACATCACTAATGACCTTTGGTACTTCTAGAATAAACAGTTGGTATGGTATAACAGCTTTCACGTGACCCGTAATCTGTAATCCTACCAGAGATGAAAAATAGTTAATGGCTTTCGGACCCCATTTTTCTCCAAGAGGAAGTATGCTTGCAAAAACACCCCAAACCACCTTTGGAGGCAGCTGAAACAATTCATTACAAGCAGAAGCAAGATGTGTTTCCTCAACAGCTAGCACTTGCCCAGTGTCTATAAGAAAAGCCTCACAGATATTCTCTCTCTTTTCCAGAACTCTTCCTCTATGCCATTTTCCTTCTGTGTCTTCCACCAAACAAGATCCACCAACGGAAACATTATCTTTTACTTTGAACACACGTTGTATTTCATTTTGTAGTATATAATAGTCAAGCTCACATCCTGCCTTGTATTGACCCTGGAACACTATAACCAAGCATTCAGGACGGCATTCTATACGAGTTATCTTCAGATTCATATCTACTATGTTTGGTGAGGGAGTCAGAGAATCCATTCTGTCTGCAAAGAAAAGGAATAAGATCAGCCTGATAATTTTCCCTATTTTTTCTTTGTCAACTAATTCCTTACACGAAATTTGTTTTCAAAATGCTTTAACAGCATATTATCACACTTCTGGTTAAAATGTATATGAAACATTTAACAATGTCATGTTTTATGCAACTGGGATACACTTGACACAATTCTCTTTGTAAAGACACATTCAGATAATATCTGAAAAAAAGTACCTCTGACTTGCTCTTGTGGCTAGACTAATTTTATCACTTGAGAACAATTCGTAATCAGAAAGCTGTTCCCAGAATAACACCGAGAATTAAAGATTATCTCAGAAAACTGGGGCGGGGAGGCAGGGAACGACACAACACGGACATGCAGGGATGCAGAACAGGACAGGACAGATGACCAGGAAGATAACTGTATTTCTTCTCAAAGAAAAGTATTTCTGCTCAAAGAAAACAAAAGAGTGGAAAGCAATTCATGCCATTTATACAACCTCTGCTCATCTCACAAATGTTACTTACATTCAATAAATTTAACTGCAAATCTGTCCAAAGGAAGTCCAATTCAGTGTTTCATTGCACTAGGCTTGCAGTTACAGGAAGAGTTTATCTGCAAAAGTATTTCCCGTCTGTTTCTCTCTTTCTTTTTAATATGTGAATGACCAAGGACTCCTCCCCTACTCACTCTGCTTTTTCTGTGTAAATCACTTCTTCAAATCAATGACATCTTATAGCTCTGTGCTTTACTGTTTACTTAATCTGGCTGTCTATACACTATCAGGCATAGCTGTAGCATATTTCAAGTTTTCATAATTGCAAGGACATACAGAACACATTATCTACATCCAACATTTCTGCACTGCCCATCAACTAACAATTGTGCCAGGTGTGTTTTGTACTATCTCAACACTCCGATTCTGACGGTTTAAATATCTTCAAACCCTTCAGATACTTCTCTGACCTTCATCTATAATCTGGTCTTCAAGATCAGCTTCCAGTTCCATTCAAATTTGTCAATGGATCTGTGATTTCACGTTGTTTAAAAAGGCTATGCATGCCCACAATTTAATCAAGCAATTCTATGAAATAAACTGCTGTTCTAACAAAGTAATTAGGGGTAGAACACATCTGTCAAATGCAAACACAGTGGATAAGCACACAAGGATACACTGGACAAAGCATATGTTTCATTTATGAATTTTTATGTAAAGCTGAAACTTTCAGTTTCAACTACAAGTCATTAGAGCAAGATATTCCTCAGCCTGCAAAAAATCTTCAACAGAACTGCCACAGTAGTTTTCATCACAAGCATACATGAAGTAGCTAGTGATCATACAATCTGTCTTCAGGGTAAATATTGATCCCTATCATTTTAGTTCCACAAAAAAATAAAAATTAATAAATAAATGAGCACTCCTACTGTAAAGCTTACCAGAACATCTCAGGCAGGAGGAGAAAGGACACATGACTTCTCAAAAAAAAAACCAACAAACAAACAAACCAACCAAAACAAAACCCCCAAACCACCAGCCACCCAAAAAAACCTCCCAGTAAAAGAAGTACCAAATCCCGATCTGACAAGTATCTTCCTAAACAAGTCCCCCTGTTTTTCACTTCTCCCTGTAATAAAATAGAAAGCTGAATTCTGGTGTTGTTTAACGAAGGAAAACAGCCTTCAGGAAAGGGTTCTGCCTGCCTGGAAGAAACACTTGATAGTTAAGCTGAATCAAACTTTTGAAGGTGACCCACTGATGCTTTGGGCACCTTTTTTTTTTTCTTCCCCATTGAAACAAACGCCTGGTTGCAGAAACACGTAACAAATGAAAACAATCTGTGCATCAACATTTGCTTGCCCTTTGTCACAGCCCAAACAACAGCATCACACTGATACAGTCACATTTCTACAGTTTACAAAACTACTTTTTGCTCTTTACTCACCTACATACCAGTTAGGACTTATTCATTCAGAACAGACCTTTAGAAATCTCAGCCCTCTTATTAAGAGCTCTGCATCTCTCTACAAGGAAAGATGATAGAAAAATCATTAGAAAAATATACGTAAACTAAGATCTTGTACTACTTCTCCCGCCCAACAAATACACCCTGGAAGAGTTCCTCATACCCGGTTTAATTACAATGTTAAGATTTAAAAAAAACAAAGTACAAAACTGAATCCACCTTCCTAAAACCATGGTAAGCCCATTCTTTCTTTGCAGCAGTTCAAAAACCACACCAGTCAGAAGAACAACACTACAGATAATCTACCACCTACTTTCTAAGCAAGAGGTGTCACACATTTATTTTTGTTTGCAATGCTTCAGCCATCAAAATCTATATTCTGTCGTGCACTAATACCATACAAACAAACTTATAGCATAATAAAAGGGCTTTTAAATGCAACCAAATGCAGGACATAAGCGACAGCTTAAGGTATCTGCGCAGCCCTCCAAAGCAGCAGCTCTGACCTGGGCAGTTTGACGCCCCAGTCGGCGCTCGCCTGAGAGGAGCAGAGGGCAGAGCCGGGCTCAGCTCGACAGCGCGCGGACCGCCGGGCGGGCGCCACCACCCCCAAGCGAGACCCGAAAGTGAAGACCGCTACCCTTCAGCAGCAGCTTCCTTACCACTCACAAGCGTGAAAGCGACGCGTGAGAGCCATAACCGCCAGAGCACAGTCATTTTACACCACCCCGACACCGAGCCCAACAGCCAAGCACCCACCGCCGCCGCTCACCCCTCACTGACAAAATGGCGGCGCGAAGACGAGCTCCCATGCGCTGCTCAGCGAAGCGCATGCGCCGTAACACCACAGGAGACTTAAACGCCTCTTTGGAGCCGATGGGGCTTAAGGTTGATTGGCGGGAGCGCGGCGGCAGCGCCCAGCCAACGGCCCAATGGCAGAGGTGCCGCCTCTGTCTTGGGCTGAGGGTAGGAGGGTGAAGGGCCGGTGCCGGGGCCGGTGTCCCGTCGGGGCCGGTGTCCCGCGTCCCGCGTTTCAGCGTGTGGGTAGCTCTGTCTAGGTCGTTTTTCTTTTGGAGTTATGCTTTTTGCATGTTTGTTTGTTTTGGTTTTTTGTTTGGTTGGGGTTTTTTTTGCTTTTCCTTTATGTTTGCATTTTGCAGCTGTTATTTATAAGGTGGTCTCTAAGCTTTATAAAAGGTGCCAGTGGGTCACTGAATCTTCTGGAGCTACCTAAAGAGGATTTGAGAGCTCTCATTCTTTCCCATCATCAGGAAGAAATTCTCCAGGCTGGGGGAGGAGTACATCTTAACAGGGTGCACAGTGGTGCCCCACTTGCTTTTGCATGCAAGTCTGGCTTTTTTTTTTTTTTTTGAGGGTGTTTTGGGGGTTTTTTACTAAGAATATAAACTTAGTGAGGTGGTCACAATAAGGAAACTTGGTATGAAGTACAGTCCTATAAATACCAACAGATGCTGGTATATCTATAACTGATTTCACTCTTTGGAATGAGTTCATGTGTATAATAATTTCTAAGGGTTTACCTTCAATTTTTACATTTTTTTCCACTGGTCAGGATTGCTGCATCATAGTTACGCTTTGCAAAGTTGGGAGAGAGAAAAGTTGCTTTTGCAATTCTTAGAGATAGTAGTAATCTCCAAATACAGCTATTATATTGAAGTCTGGACAATATATGTTTAAAGTGGCATCATACCTACTTGAATTAACCCTAAAATTTAGAAGAGTTCTTTTTAATTTTGCAGGTAAGCAGTCATGTTTGTTGAAGCTTTTTTGTAAGAGCTACTCTGAACAAAGGTTGTACAGGCCTATTACTGATACACCTTTAGCTTTATATTTCTGGACAAAATGTCTCGTTTATTCTTGCATTCTTATGTTGACCAACAAAATTCTACTACTGGCAAATTACTTCGGAAGACAGAGTTTTGCTTGGTCTCTTTAATTCTTTATCAGAAAATAAGAATACGTACTTGTTTTGAACTGTAAAGTTGTTTACTTTCTTCCACAATGTAATGCAGTAATGTCTTGTGCACTCCTTCTATACCCCAGTCTTCCCATTTTGGACTCTTTTATTTTTTTTAACCCACACAACCAACATGATCTTAAGCCCATCTCAGCTTCCCCCCCCCCAGGTAACAGCAGCATGCTTCAGGGTTTAGACATGCATACTTCTCCTTAGGCAGCTCCTCCAGAAGGCCTTCTGACAGAAACCATCTCACCCTCACCAAGTACCTCTTACAGAAGGTGCAGAATTCAGGAAGCATCTCAAGTCTTAGAAGTAGATGAGTCTATAACATAACAAGTCTGGGATGGTAAGTAATTTAGCAGCTTAGTGTATGCCACACTTTTTTTTTTTTTCCCCTCCATATAACTTTACCTGTAGATACTGTGTTTTGTATTGGTGTACTGATTGGGCTTAAATGGGCTTTCTTTTAAGACTATTCTAAATTTACATTTCCTTGAATATACATCTTATTCCAAGAGAACTATTTTAAGGAGATGGACATCCCGTGTATCTAAAGACTTTGGAGATCCTTACAAAACATCTGAGCATACTTGTATCACTTCTAATAAAAAAGATAGAATACCAGTATATTTAGTATAGTAATAGACTGATGAAAACCTTGTAATACTGAAATTTTCCTTTATCTAAGGTGTTTTGAAGCTCTGACTAAATTTATTTATGTAGTTTTACTTGGTGTTAGACGATCAGATTTCACATCCATAGAAACTCCATTAGTCTAATTAGGCAGAGTTTTATGTAAGAATGGACTTACTTATAGAGAGGAAAGATAAGACCAAATCTTTTAAAGAAGTTACATTCTTACAAGATTAAAACCTCAGACTGAAATCTAGAACCCAAGGTAGGTGTCTTTGCATCCTCTACAGTGTGAAGGGAGAGTGCTGCTTCAGAATGGCAATTCAGAAGACTCAGGTACTAGATAAGGAGCAGTCTTGAGCCTGAGTACTAAATATTGCAAAGGGATGTGGGGTATGGCTATGTTTTTCCCTGTAACTGAGGCTGAAGTCAGTCCTGCTCTGACTACAATCCAAAACTCACTCCTGAAGGCAGAGTGCTACCACTGCTTTTTTTAAAGGCAGCAAGAGCTACATTTTTTCCTACTCAAATTACAGTGGTGATGGCAGCTGTAATATAATAATCTTATGGTTAGAGCAGTCAGAAAAAGATTCTTGCGGCGTGAGTGAGTTTAAAAAATGTGTACTGCTTCCTTGCAGTGTGCCTTAACCATGGGCAGTTATGCGTGGTGGCATACAGTATGTCCCTCCTGTTTGAAGTTGTGCTATTTTGGGGTGGGGGGAGGAAAAACAAAAGGCATGACCAGACAATCTGTCAGGGCCGATTGGATGCTGGAGCTTTCTCGCCGCCTTCTGGAAGGAAAGAAGAGCTTTTTTGCTGTTTGTGCCTTTGTTGCAGAATTTCTTTGCAATTTACATTGTTTCAGCCAGTGAAGGAATTAGGTCTTTTCTGACATAGTGTGGGGTTTTTGGTAGGTCTTTGGTTTGCTCAAGAGTTGTATGATTTTTTTTATTCCACCCGCCCCGGCTTGATATCCACATTGGAAAGTGTCAGGTATGCATAAAGCACTGCCAAATCTCAGAAGCGAGCTCCTCCAATAACATGAGACATGAAGAGTCACTATAGGCCATTGTAAGTGTTCAGGAAGCACATAAGAGCTAAAAGCAGAAACAGCAGTGTTGCGATGTCCCAGAACATCCCTATAGTGAACTTCAGCAAACTTGCAAAACACTATTCAGTGTTTACATTTGAATTGCAAATGCTTTAAAATATTGGTGAACCTACACATTCCGCACTGATTAGTACTAAATCTCAAGGGGTTTTCCCAGCTTTGTCTACTGTGTAAGTAGTACAACCAACTCTGAGTTTTCAGCTTTTCCACTTTATTGATATTTACAAATTTTATGTTGCTGTTATTCCCACAAAAAGCTATGTTTTCCTTCCTTGTCATTATTGTGAGGAAGCCATTAAATACTTTTGCTGTTTTTTCCAGTATGGAAGGTTAACAAACTCTAATAAGTTTATTTATATTCCATTGTGTCCTGGTTTTGGCAGGGATAGAGTTAATTTCCTTCCTAGTAGCTGGTACAGTGCTGTGTTTTGGATTTAGGGTGAGAACAATGTTGGTAACACACCGATGTCTTAGTTGTTGCTGAGCAGTGCTTACACTAGTCAAGGACTTTTCAGCTTCCCATGATCTACCGACTGAGAAGGCTGGAGGTGCACAAGAAGCTGGGAGGGGGCACAGCCAGGACAGCTGACCCCAACTGGCCAAAGGGACATTCCATACCATGTGACGTCATGCTCAGTACATAAACTGGGGGAAAGCTGACCGGGGGGGTGGCGGCCGCTGCTCGGGGACTGGCTGGGCATCGGTCGGCGGGTGGTGAGCAATTGCATTGTGCATCATTTGCTTTGTATATTATTATCATTATTATATTATTATTGTTGTTGCTATCATTATTTTATTTCAATTATTAAACTGTTTCGGAGAGTGAGCAAGCGAGCGGCTGTGTGGTGCTCAGTTGCTGACTGAGGTTAAACCATGACACATTGACAGAAAAAAAATACAATGAAAAAAAGAATTTTGATGTGTGAGGCTCTACTCTCTTGACAAACCTTGACTAAGACAAAACTCCTAAAGTGAGCCTCAAGTTGTTTTTTTTGTCTATATCAAACTGCTGAACAAGGTGGTACTTCATGTGTTCCGAAATATGTCTCTGTATGTCCACTCAGGAATGTTTTCTCATCAGGAAAATTTTGCTATGCCTCTTGTATATGCCTTAAAAATAGTTAATGAAAACCTAAAACTCTTCACTAAAAAAGCCTTCTGTGGTCATGGAATGAAGTGGCTGTTTATACCCATTTTTATTCTGTAAGAGATGGTGGTCTGTTTCTGAGTTTTTCTACTTTCAGTACACTTCCATGTGAGATTTCTTGTGAAGGAATGGATACTAGTTTTCCTTACAGTTTCAAATGTAGTATAAAAAAAGTAGAAGTATTCTTCTACTACAGTTTAACAGAATATTGTAAATGAGGCTCTACTGCCAGCTGTCTGCCAGGAAGTAGAACATAGCACTGTGTGAGTGAGCACCTGTGTTGAAATCAGATAACGAATAACTAATCACAGTTATAGCTAACTTCCAACGCTTATAAAAATTGATTTTGAGGGGAGGGAACGTAAGACAAAGCTATCCTTTGTTGTAAAAACTAGGAAGGATACTGAAACAAAAGGATGGCTTTTGGATAACATGGACATTCATCTCCCAGTTTAAACACCAGCAGTAGTCTGCAGCCTTCTTAAAGTATTCTTGGCAGGTGGCAAATATGTATTTGCTTTGATTTGAGCAGCGGGAAAAAAATGGAGAAACATATTGCAATCAGTAGAATACCATACAAAAAGAGGAGAGGAATTATCGGCATCTTCTCTTCTGTTTGAGTTTTAAAATAAAAATGAGCCTTACTGAATTCCTTGGGGGGGGAGGGGGGAATTGGGTAACCACCTACCTCCAAGGAAGGCAAGAGGTACAGATTACAAGAAAATGGGAGTATATCTCCAATGGAGGAACAGAGAAGGGTTTAGGATTTAATCTTCTCCTTAATGTTTCCTTCCTGGGTGACTAAATAGCTGAATGCTCATGATGCTAGTTCTAAGCACTATATGCTGACTAGAGTGAATCCCATTCTGAAGCACGTGACTTTCACGAAGAATTATGTAGAGATCATAACTGCTTTGATTCCACA